CCTTAGGGTAACGGGAGGACACAAACTAGCGTCCTCCCGTCACCCTAGACTCAGTATACCGCGAGCTGAAGCGGATCCCGACAATTATGCCGGGATCCGCCGAGCTGCGTGACTGACAGCTGGCTCTGCCTATCTAGAGGCAGAGGAAGCTGTACCCCCACCCCTCCCCGTCCGTTCCACCAGTTAGTGCTGGCGGATCGGAGCGGGAAGGGGGAAATCCAGCCCCTCCCCTGTCACGACAGAGAGCCGTGACAGGATCGAGAGGTGAGCGAACGCCGGTATGTGTTCGCTCACCTCCCGATCTACTGAGCCGACCTGTGACAGTCTCATTGTCACAGGTCGGCTAGAACTATGAGGTGAGTGAAAAGCACTCACCTCATAGTTCTCCTTTAAATAGTAACCCCACGCTGTATCACTTCTGTCGGTGTCAGAAAGAGGAGGCAGAGTTTGTAGGTGGATTTGGGTAAGGATAATTTATTTTAGAGATGCACAGATACCATTTTTTCCAGTTTTTCTAAAACAATAAAGACTAATGATTTTAGGACAGTACTGGAGTGCCAGGGTCCGGTCGCAACTGCTGTGACCTTGGTAGTTCTGCCACTGACTCCAAGCTGTAGAGGGACTACAAATCCCATCAATATATTTTACAGCAATGCAGAATAATACCCCAGCTATAGAGGACTACAAATCCCAGCAATACATTGCACAGCAAAGCAGAATGTCACCAGCTAGAGAGGACTACACATCCCAGCAATACATTATACAGCAATGCAAAATAATACCATCAGCTATACAGAACTACAAATCCCAGCAATACATTATACAGCAATGCAGAATAATATGAAGCTACATACTCTGAGTTGCTCCAGGGTGGCAACCTGATATCTCCAGGGTCTCATGTGGGCTGTGGATAGTCTCAGGTGGACTGTGGAGGGTCTCAAAAGTGCTGTTTTAGGTCTCTGATGGGCTGTGTGAGGTATCAGGTGGTTGTGCAGGGTCTCAGGTAGACTCTGCGGTGTCCAAGGAGGCTGTGCGAGCACTCAGGTGGGCTGTGAGGAATCTTAGGTGGACTGTGCAGGCTCTCAGGTGGCGGGTTGTATGGGCTCTCGGGTGGCGACCTATGCAAGCTCTCGGGTGGTAGGCTGTTCAGGATCTCAGGAGACTATGCGGGGTCTCAGGTGGGCTGTGCGGGCTCTGCCCCACTGGTTTAGGGGCACCGTTTTTTGCTGCCCCCCTGGAAAGTGCAGTTAAAGGCAAATGCCTAGTAGATGTGCCTCTGGGTTAATTCTGACATTACCAAGACCAGGCTCTCAGGTGATGGGCTGTGCTGGCTCTTAGGTGGTGCACTGTGCAGGTTCTCAGGTGGGCTGTGCAGTCTCTCAGGTGGGCCGTGTAGGCTCTCTGGTGGTGGGCTGTGTGGGCTCTCAGGTGGTGGGCTGTGCAGGCTTTCAGGTGGTGGGCTGTACGGGCTCTTAGCAGGCAGTGTGGGCTCTCTGGAGGGCGATGTGGGCTCTCAGGTGGTGGGCTGAGCAGGGTCTCAGGAGGATGTGCAGGGTCTCAGGCGGGCAGTGAGAGGTCTCAGGAGGCTATGCAGGCTCCTAGGTGATGGGCTGTGTGGGCTCTCAGGTGGTGGGCTGTGCAGGCTCTCAGGTGGTGGGCTGTGCAGGATTTCAAGTGGTGGGTTGTGCAGGCTCTCAGGTGGCTGTGCAGGCTCTTAGGTGGCTGTGTTGGCTCTCAGGAGGGCTGTGTGGGCTTTCAGGAAAGCTGTGTGGGCTTTTAGGAGGGCTGTGCAGGCTCTCAGATGGCGAGCTGTTCGGGCTCTCAGGAGGCTGTATGGGCTCCCAGATGGGCTGTGCAGGCTCTCAGGAGGCTTGTCAGGCTTCTAGGTTGGCTGTGCGGGCTCCCAGGTGGGCTCTGCAGGTTCTCAGGGGGTGGGCTGTGTGGATTCTCAGGTGGTGGGCTGTGCAGGTTCTCAGGAGGCTGTGCGGGGTCTTAGAAGGGCTGTGTGCGGGGTCTCACCAAGGCTGTTCAGGGTCTCACCAGGGGTCCGGATGGTCTCACGGGTGGGTGCAGGTGGTGTAGATCCACAGGAAGGAGGAGATGCACTGTAAACAGGGACCTCAGACAGCCACTTCTGTTAAAAAATTGAAAGTGCCGGCATTGGCGCTTAGTATTGGGGCATTTTCACAAGTACGAGTATAGCAAAGCAATTGAAAATAATTAACTACAAGATGGTGACTTTATCAAAGTGACTCACTTGTACCATTTGAGAAGCATCCAATGCAGTCCCCAAAATGTTGGTGGTTATCTTAAGAATTTGCTGTAAATTTTCCAAAAGACTGCACATTTTCCATAAACCACAAAATTATGGGACATTAATAGAAACCGATGACCAAACCACTAGCAGGGGTAAATTTAAACACCACAATATTATTATTATTAATAATGTTATTATTATTATCATCATAAAACAGCAGTAATAGAAAGGAATCCCAACCCAGCTTCTCATCTTTTAATTAAAAATGCCAATTTAATCCAAGCAAGTCAGCTGGGGATATAC